AAATCAATCAAGAAATGCCTCTTTAAGGAGATTCCTTCCTTCTCTTTAGGTTAATCCTGTAGATGAAATTAAGGACAACAAATAATATCCTTTAATTCTGCAATTCTTCTAAAAGTCTTAAAAGCAAACTTGATGGCTTTTCTCAGAGATTTCACTGTTTTATGGATTTTGGTTGTTCTGGGCAGTACTGAAAATCTACAGCAAGAGAATCCTTCCTGCTCTTTATTTTTAAGATTTGTAATCTACTGACATATTCTCAGGTTGTGGACCTAAGTGTAACTCTATATAAATGTAAATATATGTGCTGAATAAATATCTAAAACCAAGGGAAATATCTTTCAAGGCTCTAGAATATGCATTTTTTACTACCAAGCAAGAAAAAGCTCATCCAGTGTAGGTCTCTTCAAGTCAGGTCTAGCTGATGTCCTAAAAACTGTAAAGCCATACAACCCTCAAAATGTTAAGGATTTCCAGAATAAATGATCTGTTTCAGGATTCATTTTATTATACACAGAATATGTTTCCATTTTTTTACTGTGGTAAAATACACATAGCATTTACCATCTTAGCCATGTTTAAGCGTATAGTTCAGTGGTAAATACATTCATAAAGTTGTACAATCATCACTGCCGCCCACCTCTGAAACTCTCCTCATCTGATAAAACTGAAACTCTACACCCATTAAACAACTACCCCCATTCCTTCCTCCCCCCGCCCCTGGCAACCAACGTTCTGCTTTCTGTCTCTGAATAGGTTATTTTAAAAACTGATGTTAAAAAGGAGATTAAACAGTTAAAAATCTTAAGTCATTTCTTTATAGAAGGACATTATTATTTCTGAAGGAAAATCAAGCAATATATTTTCATTTTAGCATAGGCATTTGATCCCAAAGAAATACTGTTTAATTTTCTTTTTTAAAAATTATACTGTTATGACAGTAAAAATGATTTAGTTTTACTTTTGTAAGTAAACTATATCAATTATTTGATTTTCATGTAACTCTGAGATGTCCTGTCTTTTCAGCCTATGTACTGCAACATATCTGAGGCAAGTGATGATCTCCTTTTGCCATAAATGAATCCATGTTTCATGTCAACTCAGAACCAAGATTGTAGCAGGGAGTGAATTCATACTGATGAGTAAAACAGACAGATCATTTGTCCCTATGGAGTTAAAAGTCTAGCTAAGAAGAGATTATTTAAATAAATAATGACAAGAACACTCTGTGTACATATACTAGAGTATTTCATTTGTTGAGGTGGGGAAGCTCCCATGAAATGCACTCATTGTTTATGACACTTTAAAAATTTAGTTTGGCAAGGACCGAGGGACTTCTACAGAGATGGAAATAGGTTTAGAAGTACAAAACAAGTATAAAATCATGGACAACCAAAAGCCATAAAACAGTGAGATCTCTGAGAAAGGCCAACTAAACTTCATATTTGGTTGTGCACAGTATAAAGATGGCCTGTCTGAGGCCTGTCTAAATTTATTCAAAAATTATCAGAAGGAAATAGAGGTAGGAAGTATCCTAGGAATCAGTGCACACGATGCTTGAGTCAGGACCAAGAAAAATAGAGGAAAGGAGAGGAAATTAAAAAATGGTGTTGGAGGGGAGGGTATATATAGCTCAATGGTAGACTGTGTGCTTAGCAGGCACAAGGTCCTGCGTTCAATCCCTGGTACCTCCATTAAAAAATAAATATATAAACCTAATTACCTCCCCCTTTAAAAAAATGGAGTAAAGCAGCTCATGTAGTGATTCTCAGAAGATATGATTTCAAAATCAAAAAAATAAGACAATCCATTTTAACTATCATACCTAATTTCTTTTCAAGTGGACAAATCCAATCTTAATATACGGAATTCACTATTTCCTGTTTAGCAACAATAATTTAAAAACTAAGTAAACACACAAAAGCCAGTCTGTACATACAACAGCAAAATATTATGACTCCGATTTGAAGTAAATTTACAAACCCATGTAAAGAAATTTTAAAACTTTGTGAGGACATAAATATGACACAAACAAAGTCTGCCAAATCAAATTCTTAGACTAGAGGACATGGTAGCAAAAAAGTCTCAGTAGCTGCAAAAATTTGGTGCAACTCGAATCTAAAAGTCATATGGAACATTTCACATAAAAACTGAGAATTGTTTTAAAAGTCAATTTTCTCTCTATTTTGATTTGGGATGAGGATATAGCCAAAATAATTGTGAAAAGGAAAAAAAAAAAGAAGACAGGTCACATTACACCTCAACCTATATTACTTAAAACTTTAAAATAATTCAAATTAAGTAGTTGAAACAAACAATAGTAAACAATATATTAGGACGAAATGGAACATAGTATTTTATAATATGAAATGCATGATAGCTTCCAAAAGGGGTGTGGAAGGAGGTCATGAAAGAATTTTGGTTTCACTGCATGAATATTATCAGACCAAAGTGTACATGTGTAGAATTAAACTAAAAAATAAAAAAATCTAAATGCACATCAAAAGTCAAGTAGAAAAATCCATGTCTATAAATAAAAAAATTTATTCAGTCTCTTAAGTAATTAGTAAATTGGAAATAAAAACAAAGAGCTGTAATTTTATTCAAATCTACAAATATACACAGTTATAATGAAGTCCTGGTTTAACTATGGGGGAAACCTCAGGAATTGGTGATGGATGAGGATCTCTTTGCAGTTTTGTGTATGTGTGAAGAGGAGACTGTGCCAGAATCTATTACAACATGAAATGTATCATCTCTTGGCCCAGTAATAAAATACCAACTTACTCTAAATGGAAGAACGCTGAGATACGTGCAGAGAAGTCAATTCTTTATAAATTCATGAACACCAAGGTCTCCCTAGGATGAATGTGCTATGAACAATGTTTAAAAACCTCTTACTGTTAGACATTTGGGTTGATTCTATTTTTTAACAGTTACAGGAAAAAATATACTCCATGATGTGGATGAAATGCAACCTTAATTTCTCAGGGTTATGTTTCTAATCTCACCCTTCTACTGCAAATCATTAATATTTTGAGGTCAAATAAACTGATCCACTTTGTTAAGCTTCAAATGCATTACACAACCTGGTAGAACAAATTTACCCATATGGATATACTTTTCCATTATTTTCTATTTATTCCTGACATTGAGTACTAATGTGTGCAGTTTCTTTAATCTTGGTCTATAGTACATCCAGATCTGCTCCCTATGCAATCGCTACTGGCAAATCTTATTGACAACATGGTGCCCAGTCCTTGTCTCTAATCAATGTCTGGCATGCAGCATTTCTCTCGATGAGCCCCCAGATGGAGCCACTTCACACACTGCACGTCACTGGCTGACAGTAAGATGCAATTGGTCTGTAGATGAGAGAGGCCGTGGATGAGTGACGAAACGTGTTAGGCAGGATATCTGAGTCAGATTTTAGTATGTCCTAAAAACAGCATTTCAGGAAGGAGAGGATAGGAAATATGACTTTTTCCAAATAAGTATTCATTCCTGACTCCTCATCTTCTTCCTCCTCCGAGTGCCTTTCTCATCTAAGAAGTCACTCCTGAGAGTTGAGAATATGCCATTCAGGTCTTATCTCCTGCCATGCCACAACCACACACATAGGGAGAAATTCAACATTTGGAAAAAATGGTCCTCTGCTGTATGCTGAACAATCAAGGAGCAGGCACAATAAACTCCCACATGGAGACCAACAGCTAAGCTTGTCTGCCTGTCACTTCATATATCCTTCTATCCTGTAGAGCCCACACTTTACATGGCAGCTATGGGAATGTGAGTTGGTGAGACCTTCCTTTCAAGTCACAATCCCCACAGTGTCTTCCAATACCTGCTGAGCACAGGATCACCAGGTGAGGATGGGTAGACTGCTCCTTTTCTCCTATTCCTAGGCTTCTCAGGCTCTCTTCCATTCCTTAACATCCAATTACATTGCCCTTTGTCCTCCAAGCTCTCTTCCCAGAGCCAAGTGCCATCTCATCATTGGAGAAAGTAATTTTTTTTCTTTTGTGTTCAGTTAAAAAAATATTAGTCTTTCCCTACCAGCTGCCTTTTGACTGTGTGAATGTGTTTCGGACATGTGAACAGGAGGGAGCAACAATTACTGGCCTCACAGGCATGGGGTGGTCTGGACTGGATAGTGGCAAGGCTTGCCATTCTCACCACTGCCCCTAAAGATTCCAGACAATTATTTCCTTTTCCTGAGCAAGGGCAAGTTCTCTTTCATGGTTTTAATCATATTGACTAAAAGCATTTAATTTATCTTTTCCATAATATATACTTCCATAAATAATTTTAAAAACACCTAATTATCGACACTGGAAAAAAAAAGTTCAGCTATGGAAATAGCTCTGAGTAATGTATTCATCACGAACAGATAAGATTGGTTAGAACAAAGCTCCAGAACCATCCAGCCTATCCTTCAATATTTGCAAAACAAAGGGAATTTGAAGAGACGATATACTTAGGTGGAAACTGTAGCTTACAGAGCAGTAAATGTAAAAAATCATATACTGAAGAAAAGATGCTGTTGAATACTACACTACCTGTTTAAACTTGGTTTTGACCGTTAAGACAAAAATCATTATCCTTACCAACTGCACAGTGAAAAGTGTAAAACTTGTTTACTAAGCACTACAGAATTCTTTTAGTATACAATAAAGACAAGGAAAGCGCTGAGGCCTCATGATCTTAATTTGATACGGTAAGTTTAAAAAGAAAAGTAATTTGGAAAGTGAAAAAAAACCTAGTGAATTTGGAATCTATCCTTCTACTGTCCCCAACTGCTACTGTTGTTGAAAGCCCCCTCAATTATTCTGTCCTTGGCCACCTCCCTGTTGATCTCTTTTGTCTGTTTTCACGTATCCTACTGCTTCTTGCCCAGGTCACTTCCTTTTTCACCTGTATTTTGTCTTTCCAAGTCCAATCCGTCCCCTCCCTCCCCCCCTCGATTTTACTT